CCTAAGTTGAAAAAACTGGAGCTATTTCGTTTACGCTTTGTTACCTCTCTTTTCCATTGTTGTTTTTAGATCGCTTTCTTCCTGTCATTTTGATGGGCAAAATTCTAAAATTTAAAATGATCATATTCGATTTAAAAAAATAATGCTTGTAAAAGGGAATATGTTTAATTAATATCCGGCCAAAAATATAATGCTTTTGACAAAAAAATCTTAATAATTTCATTATAATTATGTAACAATAATGTAATTCCGAGGACAAATCTACGGTTTATGTTACCTCATCTCATTGCATGGTTACGGACTATAAACCTAAATTGAGCTTGAAATATTGTGGAATTGGCTCTAATTCTTTGTAAAATATGATATAATGAATAATTTGCAGTGAAAAAAGCAATTTTTGATTTTTTGTTGAATACATCCTTCCTCCACCGAACACGTCATATGTACAGAGAGAGAGAGAGAGAGAGAGAGAGAGAGAGAGAGAGAAAGAGAGAGAGTGAGAGTGAGTGAGTGAGTGAGTGAGTATTTTAAATATTGCATAAATATTTATAACTTAAATATATCATATTCTTACTGCTTTCTTTCTATGTCTCTTTCTTTCTCTCTCTCTCTCTCTCTCTCTCTCTCTCTCACACACACACACACACACACACATACAAGCATACGTCTCTTTTTCTCTTTGTGTGTTTAATCATATTCCATTTTAGACATTTCATCAGAATTGGCAAGTGGGTTTGCCGCCATTTTCTTTTCTACTCCTTATATTCAATGAGCCATGTGAGTGTTATTTTCTCCAAACATTCTCTACTCATATTGGGTCATTAAAATTTCAACTTTCTTTTCTGATTATTGACAAAATTGTTTTTGACAATTTCTATTCTTTTTTAAAACACCCCTATTTATCTGTTAATATGTCTAACGAACTCTCTACAGTCGGCGACAAAAAAACATATCACCGTCGCTTCATCTGTCAAGGAGGGAAACAGCCATTACATAACAGTGCACCACTATCTTCTTTGTTTCCAACGACTTTTTTCCTGTATGTTGAAACTTACTTTAGTCAGTTTCTGAAATGTATATATTTCCTTTTATAACATCAGACAATTTTAGGCTAGCCTAGTGAGGCTTTGCCAAATGCTCAATTTTAATACGTATCCCATGCTAGAATAGAAATATATTAAATCAAAAAGAACCTGGAAACTCGAGCCATGTTTTTTAAATATCTTCGTCAGATCGAGGCTCTCATATTATGCAATGTCTTCCTGATTTACTCTTTTCAGTTCACGCTGATTATTAATGTTTCTGTTTTTAATTCTTTCCCACCCAATAACCGCTTGTGTCGTAATGGATTTGCTACCTTGCATCGATTAAAAAAATTAAGCTAGCAGATATATAAAAACATTTTCTCAGATTAATGATTAAAAATGGCTTCAACCGTCGAATGAATCTGTCATACTTAAAGAAGTTACTGAGTGTTATAGAATATGAAAAAAACACAACGAAAAAGAGAGAACAATAAAAGAAGAGAAATGAAGAAGACAGAAGATAACAACATTGCATTTAAATCTTTGAAGTTCAAAATTGCTAGAAAATATTTCTATAAGTGAGAAATGCAATAGAAGAATCTGTTATCATAGAACGCGCCGTTATATCTAAACATTTAATTGTTAATTGGTATTCGGATCGGTCGAGATTCAATCTGACAAAACTAAATTGTTTAAGTAAAAGAAAACCTTATAAAACCAGTGAATAGCCAAGACTGATAGTATTCACTACTATAAATCCGGGTAATAAATAATAATAATAATAATAATAATGGATTATCACCGAATGTGGTCTGAAGGACACTTGGCTTACGAGAAGCTGACTATTTCCCTCCACATATTTGAGTTGAAAACCGTAGAAGTATTCATTCATGCGTAGCATGTTTTGGCCTAGTTGACCTGGCGAAGCCTATCCCTCTCTATTTCAAACAACAGTCGATGTCCTTCAGCATGGAGGTCCGCCTCGATAATGGACACGTTGCAGTTGATTCCCTCGAGGGAATTCTTCCCCACCCACTGGTCGTTGATTTCAGTCTCGGAATCCCTCCGCCTAGCCATACCATGCCATCCTGACACTGGCTGCATGCACAGCTATGGAACTCAGCCTAACCTAGACTGATGTTAACCCTAAAAGAGGGTTCATCTATCCTTTTTAAAGCTTTTCGTTTTTAATTCCGCTGATTGTCTACCGACTCTAATCACCAGGTGGAGGTGGGGAAGCAATTCAGTAGCCAATGATAGACAGCCATGCGGTATTACTAAGTTACATAGTATCTGTAGCGATCGTTACATTTGACACGTATAAGCATTCATTTTTTAAACCAGAACTATTTTTCTGGTGAAAGAGTAAATTACTAAAGTTTCATTTCCATAATTTGTTATTGCTGCGCGTGTAAAATTATGATGAATCAAAATGGAAACCAGGACAAAAGAATTCTTGACTCTGGAACTCTGTAAAATATTTATGACAGGAGAGTTCCATGAACATTTATATTAAATTATTAATTAATTGCTCCTTCTATCTAATCGACTATCAGCAAATTTCTACCTGAGCACAATCTCCCATCATGTTACGCAAACTGACTGAGTTTCCTTAGCTTTGTCGCATTGATTACCAGCACAAGAGCTTTTCTTAGGACAAGCGACGTTTGTACAAAGACTTGCTTTTTTAAAAATATATTATTATACTTGTATGCAATTTTTAAATATAACTTGAAGTCAGGCATACTGTTGAAATATTGTGAAATAATTGTTAAATAATGTATATTTGTTTTCTTTTCTTAAATCATGCTCTTCTCTAAGTGTTCAAAACATCATCATCATCGACAACAACAACAACAACAATAATAATATTAATAATAATAATAATGTCATTTGACTAAATAATATTCTCATAGAGTTTTAGAGTCAGATCTGGTAGAAGTGATCGACTGAGGTAGTGTTTACCCTGTAGCGGACCGTGGCGGTGATGAGTATGTATTTATAACCAGGGGAGAGAGACCCCTGGTGAAGGGTTAAGGATCTGAGGAGGAGCTAACTCCGACAACCCTTTAGCTAAAATTAAATTAGAATACGAAATGTCTCAGCTTCATATATAAGCTGCAGAGCGATTTTTGAGCCCATGTTTTTCGGAGGGGGTAAGTTTTTCGGATGGGATATTTATTTCCACTCAATTTATTAGAAAGTAGTCACTTTGTCCACACTTCATAAACAAATTAAATTAATAAAATTATATTTTAAGCCAAGCAGTAAGTCTTTATTAATTGCAGCGCCTTTTCAACAAAGCCATCACAATTCTGATCGTATGCTTATGGTAAAAATTAAGCACCAAAATGACCAGAATTATGTTGTAAGTAGAAGATATCTAGCAGTGTGTCTGTCTCCCAATCTTTCGACCTCGGCCTTTTCATTATTAAAATTGCCATTTCTATACCCCCCCCACTCTCTCTCTCTCTCTATTTGTTTGTCTTTCTATCTATCGCTCTGCTTGTCTCTCGCCCCATATCCACTGAATAAATCTCTTTGTTGAGATTTTATTACTCGAACGGTGATGACAAGTGTGCCTACGATCGACATCCATTGCAAATGGCGTCATATTAACAACTGTTGCGAAACAGAAACTATGAATATAAAATCAAGGAAGTCACAGAGCTGAGGTGGAGGCTAAAGTAAATGGCAATACTAAAACTGTAGACATGCATAACATTTCATATCAAACAATTATGTTTGCGCAAAATACAAAAGAAAAACAAAGAAATATTTCATTAGAAACACAGAAACGATTACTGAACTCTTATGTAATGATCGGTCCTCTTATAGGATTGAATGTTGGATAATCTCTTCACAGATAAAGATGAGACTTGACGTAACAGAAATGTGGTTCTACAGAAGGATTCTGCTGGACTCGAAAAACCTGCTTTACTAAAAAAATTATTTTGAAGAAGAGATTTTTTAAATTTCAAGCGACAGCAGTACCGTTTGCTCAGTCAATGAATGCCAAATATTTCCTTTTGGGGAAACGGCTAATAACAACATTATCATCTCTGGTTAAAGATATGAAAACTTATATGTTCCATTCTTCAGGAGAAAAAAAAGGTGAAGTCATTGGGAAGAAGTAACAGTGTGCAGTAAAGGTTTTCTTGATTGAAAAAGAAAACTGATGATTGAGAAAAATGAATTAAAATAAAAATAAGAGGCAATGATGTCCGTCTCATTAAAAATCGGCTGTCAACAACTGAAGATACAAATTTGCTTGAAATAACAGCTTAAAATGAAACACTTCGGTTTGCTTAGCGAAACCGTTGGTGTCGCTATTCTGATGGTGTCACGTGTCTTACTAATCAAAATGACTCTGACAGATAGTCAAGAAAAAGAAATCTTATGTCAATATGAACGCAATGGTTGCAAATGAATAATAAAAAGAGTGCAAATAAGTGACTGAGTGTTTGTTTACGCAGGAATATCTTTATTATATGTCAGCAGAATATGTATTGACAGATCTGCACCGAGAAATGAATGAGCTAAACTGTATGAGTTATGCACACACTAACCTAACGTCAACATTTTCTATATAATATATTTCTTTTTTGCTTTTATTCTTGCTTTTTTTTTCTTTCTTTGTCTCGTTCCACGCTGACACAGAATAGGCAAGCCGAGTTCAAATTCCATCTGGAACAGTTGGTTAATTGATTGTTTTTTTTTAACGGCTTATCAACCTTTTGCATATTCTCTAAAGCCAGAAAATATTTTTAGAGTTTATGAATTTTTTTAAGATAATAATAATTTACTAATACGAGTCCTACTATTTAACCGATAGCTGGAGAATAAGTAGATTAATATCATTCCCAAGTGAATATATGTTCGTAAGGGAATATAACGAATTCAACTGGAATTGGAACTCTGCTCTCCGATTTCCAATTCAGAGCTGTTATCCATTCCACCATCCGCATATCCTAGCTTACAACATCTGGGATTTTCAAAATGTCATCCATCTAGATACTGACAAAGCTCAACGTTGCTTAACTCCGGTGATCGTACGGAAACCGGTGTTTCAAAGTGATATGACCGTAAGCCAGAACAGTTTGTGTTCTCTTCGCCCTCATGTGCTTGTGAAAGGCATAAACCCATCTCGTCTATTATATGGGTTAAATAGTAAAATCGAGAAGTATCTGTTGCTTTGATGAAACAATCAGTCTAGTGAAATTAAAACCCTGAATTCTAAATCTCTTGCTAACATTTTTCATCAACAATGTTTCTGATGTAATCAGTTCTCGACTCGGAATCGATGCTGATTACTCAAAGATTTAATCCTGTCTAAATTTTTTTAATCGATGCAAGGCAGCAAATCCATTACGACACAAGTGGTTATTGGGCTGGAAAAAATTAAGAACAGAAATATTAATAATCAGCGGGAACTGAAAAGAGTAACCAGGAAGACAGTAGATAGCGATTGACACTACATTTAAATTTTCACAGATTACTTGGAAAGCATGGAGGCGGAAGGGTGTTCCATAATCAAGAAGTGTCAGAAAAGATACTGTTAGCATAGAAGTTACGGCTACATCTAGCCACCTTAACTGTAAACTGATGAAATCTCGACATCAGTCCAATACTGAGCTTAAATTCAAGTCTACGTATCATAACAAAAAGTTCATCTGAACAATTACCATTTATAGAAAAGACACAGAGATGCCAGATCAAGACCGATAATATTGCTGATTCTTTGGATTTTCCCAATGAGCTCAAGGTAAATAGTAGAAGTACCAGACCATATGTGGCAACAATATTCTAAGCATGGGTGAACGGTAGACCTACAGATACGTATGATAGATTCTGGAGAAAAAAATTGTTTCACACCACATAATGAACCAAATTTCTTCGCATTTCACCTAGCAATGAATTCAATAGAGTCTTTCTATTTCATGTCAGCTGAGAATGTTAGCCAGAGAAGACGCAATGAGTCATTTTCCTCGAGGTTATCATATTACACCAGTCGACATTTTTTCGACCCAAATGTTGTTGGGCAATGGCCACATGTTTCTGGGTTATGTTTTCACGCTGAATCTGAAAATCAAGTTCATTTTTCCCATGACATCACGTTTTCTCAGTTCAGATAATTTCTATTTTTCGTAAAATAGGTCAAAATGCCTAATTCTAACGAATCTTAATTCTTATGGTAATGTTTGAGTAGGCTTATGGGGAGTTCTAACACAATAAAATATCTGTAGAAATTATCCTAACGTTAAATGTTTGGACTTAACAACTTTAACAAAATATGGCAATAAGAATCATAAATATGAATGTTTGTCGATATTTTAAGAAATGGATAAAAATTCAAAATGGAATAGTTAATTATTTATGGAGTATTGACAGGACGTAATGGTTGTGCGAACTAATGAAGGAATAGCAAAGCAGAATTATAATATTAATAGGATAGCCGGTCATTTTATTGAAATAATTTGGGATACATAAAAAATGAAAAATAAATACATACAGAAAAGAAAAAAAATTGAATGAAGGAACAAAAAGGAGTTAAAATTAGTTCAAATGTAATTACCATAAAAATATTGAATGATTATTTTGTACGTGTTTTCAACCTTTTTTGTGGGTTATTTAAAGCCGAAGTTTTGATTGTAAGGATAATTCTATTTTTTTTTTTTTTTTTTGCTTTAACAATATTATCGGAGATAATAATTTTTTCCCTATACATGTCCTATTATTTAACTCATTTATTCGGGGCGAAGAGATAGATTGATACATCGGTTTGCTTAGCGGAAGCGTTGATGTCTCTATTCCGATGGCGTCACGTGTCTGAATGATCAAAATGACGCTGACAGATAGTCAAGAAAAACAAATCCTATGTCAATATGATCGGAATGGTTGTAAATGAATAAATAACGGGAATGCAAATAAGTAACCATGTGTTTGTTTGCGTACGAATAGATTTATTCATGTCAGGACATTTGTACATAAGTAGATGTAATGCACTCGACTGAAATTCGAACTCAGCTATCCGATTTCGCATTGTGAGTCATATGACTCAATATATATATATATATATATATATATATATATATATATATATATATATATATATATATATATATATATATATATATATGAGACAATCTGGATAATTTTTTTTTTTAGATGTTTCCATAATGATACATCTTTTTCATACAAATAATTTTATTTTATTTCAGTTCTAAAATCGACATAAACGAGATAAAACGTGAAGCACGCCCGAAGTCTATTTCTAATTTTAAGTGTGTATGGCTGGTGTAATGTGCCATACATTACACCAGCCACACACACTTAAAAGTTAAAATAGAAAAGTCTTCGGACATGAATCACGTTTTATCTCGTTTATGTCGATTTTAGAATTGAAATAAAATTAGTTGGATGAAAAAGCCAGATCATTATGGAAACATCTCAAAATAAAAATATCCATACACACACACACACACATATATATATATATATATATATATATATATATATATATATAACTTCATCATTTCAGCATAATTCAAAGAGAAAAAGCGTCTTTGAGTAAGAATTTTCTGCTTTATCTCATCAGTCTCACTTCCGTTTCGAATACTATTATACATCCTACCAACACAGACACACACACATATATATATATATATATATATATATATATATATATATATATATATATATATATATACATTATTCAATGAAATATATAAATATATATATATATATATATATGTATATATGTATATATATATATATATATATATATATATATATATATATATATATATATATATATATATATATATATATATATATATATATATATATATCGTTGAATAATGTAGATATATTATGTCTATTTATTTACATAATAATCCTTTCCAGTTTGCTAATCAATCTCTTGATGTTACGACGAAATTAGATCAAAGAAACTTCCGTAATTTTTTCCTATCCAAGTACTTTCGATCTTCTCCATGATTATCCTCTTTTAATTACAAATACCAACTTATTGTAGTGATTTTCCAAGCGTAGCTTAGATGTGGCACAAGGCCGAATGTATGGGGCACTCATTGAGGATCGAACTCACTACTTAGTCGTAATTGTTCTAGCGGTACAAGCTTGCCAACCATTACATCGCAACTTATTGTAACTTTTCATTTCGTTGTGATGGTGATTTTTTTTTCTTAAAAAAGTACACGAGTGAATCCGCTCTGTTATCATTATTTTAAAATAATGAAATGCAGTTACATTATGTTTGTTTTTACCCGTTGAGGATAATCTTGGAGGAGATTGAATGTACTTGGGTAGGAAAAAACTACGAATTATTGGATGTACCTAGACATTTAAGAGATGAATACGTCAATTCCTAGGCTGAAAGATATTTATTATTGTTTTTTATCATTTTTATAATTATGGCTTCTGATAAAGAAATATGCGTATATGTTGATTATCATAGATATACACTGAGAAAATATTTGGTAATATAATGAAAACGTAACGGATATGTTTTCTTAATATAGATGTAACGTAATATAAGGTAATATAAGACAAATATAAAATATAGTTGATCATATAAAGTAAATGTGACGTATATTAGCAATCATAGCGTATTTATATACATCTGGTAATGAAAACATTACGTACATCTGGTAATATAATGTTAATGCAATGTGTACCAGATAACATGTTGCAAATGTAACGTATTTAAGCAAATGCAAATATGGCGGATATCAATTAATATCATGTAAATAATCAGCTTTTCAGAGTGAGGAAGAAATACCTCACATATATGCCTCCCAAAAATACCCCGCTACGTATTGGTAATACATTAGTAACTATGGTGTCTTCATCTAGCTGATGTCTTACCATTATATGGGAGGTATTTCTGGGAGTTATATGAGGGAGGTATTCTGTCGCAAAGTATATAATACAAATGTAGTGGACATTAGTTAATAAAATGCAGATGTTGTGTACATCTGATAATATAAAAATATAAAGGTGATCATATAATGAAATTGTAACGTATATATTTTCATAATAAAATGTAATTTAACTGGTAACATATAATGATACCCTAACCTATACGAGGTTTGATCAAAATGTATTGGGACTGGTGCTTAAATACGCTGAGTGAAGCCGCCTGTCACATATTAACCTTGAACTCTGTCGCACATTCACACTACTCTATATGTTCTTCCCTTGTTTATAGCAGTGTTTAGAACGACAGTGTGTACATTGTGGGCGTCTTACCACACCACAGAGGTTTCATCAGTGACCATGAATTGTGCTGCAGTTTTGAGTCAAGGACAACATTCCACAGGTTCTACAAACGCTATATTATCAATAGTTTGCGATTTGCGACTTTTTCGTCTTTAAAAATCAAATCCCACTTGAATGGATTAAGATTCCAAGATTTCGAGGCAATCCAAGAGAATGCGTCGAAGCAGCTGTTTGCCATCCATAAAAAGGAGTTTCAGGAATGCTTTCATCAATCGTAATGAAGTTTTGTAATGTGTGCGGCTTCAGAAGGGAACTACTTCGAAGGAGATTAAATGTCGAATTGATATGTGTTGTAGTTTTCTTTTTATAGCAGCAGTCCCGATATTTTTGATCACAACTCTTATTTAGTGATATAAAACAAATGAGCTTTTTTTTTTATTTGACTGAATTTGCTCTTATCCTACTCGTCTTTGTTATCTTGCCTTATTTGCCGTCTTCGAACAAAAGTCCTTTTCATTCACCCAGCTTTTCAGAATCTCACTTTCATTATATATACTCTCTCTCTCTCTTTCTAGCTCTCTCTATTTCTCTTTCTCTCTCACTCTCTTTCTGCCTCTCTTTCACAAAAGACGAATTAATATTTTTACAGCCGTACAGACATCGAATTAATTTTTAAAAAATCATTTCACCCCCCAGCAATGTCATAATGCCACTAAAACGTAATGAGTTACTGGGATTTGAAAGAAAAGGAGAAGACTTCAGCAGGAACCGGAAGCTCCTGTTCAAAAACGGAGAAGGAGTGTGAACTGTGCGATAGAAGGCGAACATATCTAATCCTATTGAAAAAA